TGAAAAACAAATATCCATTATTAAATTTTATGATACTATTTAGACATACACAAATGGCATATGAGACAGCAGGGATTTCTCATGAGAAAGTATAGCCTCAATATATTCAGAAGCCTAAAGATGTTGCGGTTCACTGATGGCAAAGCAATCACAACCCCTTGCATTATTTTTCCTTTAAGTTATTAATACACGCACAAGAAACCTGTGTGCTCTTTTTGCACACAGAAGTTTACAGCTGCGTCTCTAAAACCTTCATGTGGTCTGAAAACACAGAGACTGAAATCTATGCTTTCATCTGCATTTGGAACTTGGAAAGTTTAACTCCACTCTATTTATTAACACAGTCTTTGGGTATACTTCTGTATCATAAAACTGACAGAAAATTAATTATAAGGGAAGCTACAAACCTCCTTTTCCTTCATTAACAAATCTATCTGGAAATTCAACACTGTAATTCACCTTATAGTGCAGTGACTTTGCAGAGTTTTGGTTTAAGAGGGGAGGTCCTGTGAAGATTTACTTACGTGCCTAAGTTTTACGTGCTGAATGGGACTGTCGGGAACCCACTGCTCCTCATAACTGAGGTGTAAACAACATAGAAAAAAAAAAAAAAAATCTATGTCTCCTTCTAGAAATGCCCACTGCATTGCTGAACTGAGGGGAAGAAATCTGGACAGCATCAATAAATGGAGAACTGAAAGGGAAGGATTTGTTTAATTGAATAAAACATGCTACAGAGAACCTAAAATAATAAAGCGGTTTCCATAAGTTACCCTGAAGAATTTCTACTAACTTAAGGCTTCTCTTTGCATCATTTCTCTGTTATTATTATTTAATAGTTTATTTCCCTATTCAAATGTAAAAGAACGCTGCTTAAGGGTATTCAGCCAGAAGTTAATAACCAAATTAAGGCTAAAAACTGAAAAAGAAGCTCTGTGATTACTTAAATATTTAGTTTAGCAAATCATCTCATGCAATCAAGGTTTGTTTGGAGTAACTGCAGACAAAAAGTTTAAATCTATTATCTGTAGTTAATTGGCATCTGCAGCTAAAATTCAAATTCAAAGCCTTTATTAGCCCCCTGACAGAGTAAGCCATAAACTCTGCAGTACTCATGCAAACTGAGAAACTCCATCCCCGTAGCTTCCTGAAGCATCCAAAAATCCTGCAGCTTCCATCGGAGGTCACAGCCGCACGTTTTACGTACGCCAGCCTTGCCTTGTGGTCCAGAAAACACCACCGAGCCGAGGAACGGGCGGGAGAATTACAGACAAGTAGCTCAGGGAAAGGCAACACTTTGCAGTGAGGTTTCCTTTCCCCGTCTCCCGCCTCTGGGTCGGGGCTGTGCTGGCGGCACGCTCGCGTTCCCCGAGAAATCAGTGTGAGCCTTGGCCGTAAATTCAGCGGGAAGAGGGCAGACCTCTAGCACGCTCTGATCTCAAGCACAGGCTGAAGGACTAAGCAGGGCCTCCCAGGAGACAACGTTGTAAACGCTAGTGCCTAAGTAAGCCAAAGTTGGAGTCAACACCCTGTCCAAAACAAAAATTAAACAAAACAAAAAAGTACGATATAATCTCTTCCATGTTAAATATTTAACTCGCAATCAACTGTTCACTCAACCGTTCTTTTATCAAATGTGCACATACGGTTCTCCTTGGAGACGCTGAGTTCTGAGTAAGGCTTAAAAAAAATCTGGTTCTCTTGGTTGTTGTCATTCTTAATCACAGATATCTGTAAAATTATTAGTCCAAGCTACTAGTGGGAACAAAAAGCTCTAGATTAGCTAAATCAATCAGGCCTGTGCAATTGGGAAAGGGAGACAAGCAACTTCTGAAGAATCAATTTATTGGCTATTAAAGACATGCTTAAAATTAACTGCATCACAGAATATAGTAGCCCATTTATCTAATTCTATTCTGTAAAATATCACTAGATTCCTGGTTTCATCTGGGTTATGGACTCCATTAATTCCATCTGTTAAATCATTCCAAACAGACCCAGTGATCCCGCAGCCCCTGAAATTATGGGATTAAAGTAGTATCTGAAATAATCTGGAAATTGAGACAGCTCAGAGGTACACTACTAAAATATCAAGCCAATACTTGAAAATAAATTGTATGTTAGTGGATTCTACTGTCCAGTAACCAAGTGCCAGAAAACTCACTCTGACAACTCTGAGGTATCCTAAGAGATGTTTGTAATGAGTGACTTTCAGGTCTAACAACCAATTTTTGTAAGCCTCTTCTACGGGTGAAAACATGTATCCTCTTTTCAGACATAATTACTGAATATTTCACATCTTTGTCAATGCAACAGTTCGTATTTGCTACAATTTTTCAGTAGTTCATGAACTCTCATTAGCAGACTTGAAAACTAATGGATATAATGGCTGTTGTGTTTAGGTTTTTGGTAAACTCAATTTACCAGACTGTTACAGAAACGTTGCCTCCAGTAGTTCTACAATAATGAAAATGCAGAGTTTTTCATTTTGACAGTAGTTTTTACAACATAATTTAGCTGTGTCTAAAGCTGATGTCTGTCCAATTGCAGGGTAATGGAACAGGTTTGTATCTTGTACTGTGCTATTCACTAAAGCATTCCAAAACTCCACCCCTAGATAGACAGACGGACGGATGTCTGTATGTCCTACCATCACCATCTTTGGAAGCTGTGAACCAGTGGGGCTCTGTATACAGAATGCCTCTCAAATAAAGGCATAACTTCACTCAGCAAACATTACTATAATTAAAAGACAGCCCAAAACAGCCAGTAAAGGATACTGATATTCCCCACAAAGCACGACTGACTCCTTATTTAGGGTTTCAGCTGGAACAAAGAATTCCTGACATTCATATGCAGCTAATTTATTTTTGTCCCCCCACAAAAATTTCTCTATATTTGTACATCATGTAGTAAAGGCACAGGGATAGCGGACCTTACTGCCCTCCCCCAGCAGGGCACAAAGCACCAAAGATCACTTTACCACCCTGCTCCACTTTGATTTTCTCTTAAGGCTTCCCTCTAGCATTTCCATTTTATAATCTCTTTTCCCCCAAAAGAGGCGCTTGGTCACCCTGGTATCAGATCTCAGGCCTGTATATACATACCTAGCTTGAAAACTATTACCTAGCGATCTCAGATTCCATTATTTGAATGTTTTGGTCCTGAATCTTCCCTCTCTTTACTTTCTTCTGCAGACTTTCTACTACATCACACAGATTCAGATAGAAACTTCCCCTTCCAAAATGACCACTGCTCACTCACCGCTACCAGAACCTGACCAGTTAGGTAGAAAAAGACAAACTAGATGGATTCTAGAATATTGCAGTTACTTGTTGGCAGATTACTGGGCCCAGGGAAGTAAAACATGAAAGAGGGGGGGGGGGGGGGGGGAAAAGTAATGACACATTGTCATGAGGGTTTTTTTGAAAGTAATTTGATAACCTAGAAGTCCAACCTTCCAGCATACAGATTGCACATTTGTGTGTGTTAATAACTTTTGGGGAAATGTTACTGTTACTTTTAAAAACCCATAAACATTCAATTTTCCATTGAAAAATCATTTCTCCACTGTGTTTTCTTAAATTAAAACTAAATACAGACTAGCCATAAGGATTCACTCATTTGTGTCACCGAGTTGACTTTCTAAAACACACTATTGTGGCACAACTCTTCAAGAGTTTCACATTTTTTTTATGTAATAGACAACAGAATTTTAATTTAAAACGTATTTCAAATACCACACTGAAAGTCCCTTTCCTCATTTTACACTGTACTCAGAGTCCCTCTGAGGGTACATCAGTGTTTAAATAGGAGCTACATGCAGAATACTTGGATTAAGTGGGAATTTGGTAGTTCAGTAAATCTCAGCATTAGGGAGAAATTTGTGCAGTAGGAGAGTAAAAACGGTAACGTCTAATCAGGTGTAAAAATGAGATCTTAACTATCCGGTTACTACCATATGATCTGTACGACAATAGAGCTGTTGGGTTTTTTTTTTTGCTGTGTGCTGTGTTAAGCAGTTGGCATCTTTTCATCCTTGAGGAGGTGCATATATTTCAACAGCAGATTAAGTAATTTCTGGGAATCATCACAGGTTTTTTGTGTTTTGTTTTTTATTTTTTTTTCTTTTTTAGTGCTTTAGGATCCTTTGGGATAAGAAGCTCTATTACGAAGGCATATTACTGCTTCTAGTAAAGGATGGGTTGTTTTACATTTGAAGGAAAACGTTAATTGATGCACTGCTGACTTCTTCCACAAACTTCAATAGTTCATAAATTTTATGCATACTAGCAGTAGCAACCAGTTGCTAATAATTAATCTATATCCAGGTTTGTAGGTTTAGCTATGAGGTTAATTTTTTAAAAAAATCCAAATAATGACACCTCTAACAACCAATGAATTTCTTGCAAAGATGCAGAGTATATTACACAGAAGAAACGTGTTTCGAAAGCAAGCATACTGGAAAAAATAATGCCAGTTTGACACTCCTTGCTGCCAAACATTTTCACGAAAGAAGTGTTAAGGGTGGTCAGCGGTTTAGACTTTTTTTTTTAGTTGTACAAAAGACACTTGTTTTTCATTTTCCCTTTACTTTTCATTAACTATCTCATGTAAGTTCAGATGACTTGGCTTTGGGAGCCCATATTCCCTTGCAGCGATGGCCGAGCGGTGAGCCAGCACCCCCCGGCATGACAACCAGGGGGCCCGTCCTCTGAAAAGGGGGTTGGAAAAATCTTCTGGTGCCATGAAAACCGGGCTGAGCCCCGCTCCTCCCTGAGGAGCGGGCGCTAACAAATGGAGATAAAAAGCACCATTTTCTAGCAAAACACCGAAGTTTAATACCAAGGATTAAGACTGAAGAGAATCGAGCAAAAAGGTCGCGAGTGGCAGCCATTTCAGTCAAAGTAGAGGAAGTTAGTTCAAATATTGCAAACTCGGGGGGAAAAAGTAGCATTTCTGTTGTAACGTGAGGCTTTTTGAACTGTTTTTGAATGCAGGCATCATGGTGAGTAAGGAGTCCAGCAAATGCTTACTCACCACCTCGGAAAGCGAAGTTGAGCCGGCGGCTTCACTCGCGTTGGAGATGAAATATGCACTGGATCCCAACCGGCAAATTAAGAAACGAAACAAAGCCCTCCAGGTGAGATTTAAAGATATCTGCGAGGCCCAGAACGAGCAGAGGGACAAACAGCTGTCCACCACACAGGATCCCGACAAGAGGGAAGCCAAGGCCATTTCCTACAAAACGGCTTATCGCAAGTACATGACAGTGCCTGCCCGGAGGTCAATACCCAACGTCACCAAGAGCACAGGAGTTCAGACTTCGCCCGATCTTAAAAAGTGTTACCAGACCTTTCCTCTGGACCGGAAAAAAGGGAATATTCTAAAAAGCGCCTCGACTGTCGACACCTTTAAGAGCCAAAACAACGGGTTTCTAATAGACGTTAAGGACAAAGACGACAGAAGCTCAGGGGAGGCCGTTCAGTGGAGCAAGAAGGCCGGCAGCCTGCAGACGGCGGAGTTCATATCCCACATCAACGAGCGCGCCAACACGGGGTCTCGCGCCAACGGGGCTGAGGCCTGGGTAAGCAGCGATTTGCACAGCTCTCCCAAAGAGCTGCCTCCTCCTGCTCCTCTCCCAAACTCGGCCGACCCCGCTTTGGAGGAACCCGCTGCCCCCCGGCCGCCCAGCCGAGGGAAACCTGCAACGGGGCGGCTGGGGAGCGAGGAGGCCGCCCAACCCCTCCACGCGAGGGTTTTCAAGACTGAAGTGGCCACCGTTTATTTACCGGCGGCTGGTTCCCACGCCTCGCAGCCCGACCTGTCAAACCTCGCGGCCGAGGCCGACTGGTCACCGTGCTCCACAGCCGAGGAGGACAAAAAGAGGACCGTGCACCTCAACGGTGTTCAGCCCCAGGAGGGAGATGCTCGAGCCTGCTCGTCGCGGTGCCAAGCCACCGAGTGTAACGAACAGACCCTGCAGATAAACGTTTCGCCGATGGAGGAGAACCAGCCTTGCCAGACGGCTGTGGCGGTGAGCGAGGAATGCCAACAAATCGTGCCTCACACGGAAGTTGTGGACTTGAAAGCGCAGCTTCAGATGATGGAAAATTTGATCAGCTCTAGTCAGGAAACCATAAAAGTGTTGTTGGGTGTTATACAGGAGCTAGAGAAAGGAGAAGCTCACAGGGAAGGGTGAGTAGAAGCTTTTTACATAAGCTGTTTTAAATGCCTTTTCTAACAAGTCCTGCCCCTGAAGTTGCTAGCATGAATTCACCCCCGCCGCCGCGCGTCTCTCCGCAGCGCACCAAGATGTTACACGTGGTGCTTCTCACGTGGACTAGGTTTTGCTGCTTTAGAGACGAGTCCCAGGGAAACCTGCCAGCAGTACTCACAGACTTGGTATCTGCTCGTCCTAGGATGTAATTCTGTAGTTATTTAACAAAGGACCTGTATCATCTCTCCTTGTACCTTTTCTAACGAGCACAGAATGAGCTGCTCTCCAAGCAGGGTTAGCGAGGATGGTTTCACATCAGCAACTGGTATTAACTGTAATACCTCACCTGGCACGAAAAGCAGCAGGAAAACCTTAATTCTGCAAGAGACTCACCTTTTTAAGATTAAGGGATATTATTACAACTGTTCATGTAATTCCATTAATGGCAGATATATCTTGTCTATTTTACTTTCACCTTCTGAATTTTTAATGCTATTTCTTTCAGAAGGAAATTAACTCAGAAGTTTGAATATCAGAGTCTTCTTTACAGCATTCACACTACACATGACAAAGTCAAGCATACAGAAACAAACTTTTGTTTATCCCTAACTTAAGTTACTTAAATCAACCTATAAGCCATTACAAATAACAGTTACTGTAACACAGTACAACCTTTAGTCTTTACCTAGACAGTTCAACCCATCTCTTACATTAACCTTCACAAGCATTTTGCACACTGACTTGCCTTAGTTCGCTAACCTTTTTTTCAATTAATGTACCTCAAAATGTGCCTGCACTGCTTGTGTGTTTTTAAGTACTTCTGTAAGTAAATCATAATTTGTCAGAAGAAATCTGGACATTAAAATTAGAAACCAGTAGCTCACGATACTGGAAGCGGCACCCTGTTTTCATTCGGGTCAAAAAGGTACATCGTAAGATTTGTAACTCAACTCTTTCTTTAGGAATGTAGAAGTCATCTTGTTAATCCTAAAAATTCAAACTGTTTTTCATTAAAAAAAATCACCTTAGCTGTTGGACAATGCTGTCAATGCAGCCTTAGCATTTTTAGCTTATTTTACAGCTGCTTATAGTATTATTAGAATACCTTGTCAAATGCTGGATTTCCAGACTGGGAAGCTTCTTGATGTAGCTGAAAGCAACACAGGCTTACTGATTTATTTTTTTATTTATTATTCAGAGAAAGTATTCCTCTGAGTTTCTTAACTTACAGAAATGGCAAGAGAATTGGAAAGAAGTGGCATGCTACTTGTCAAATTACAAAATATGGAAAAATATTTTTTCATCATAATTCATCATCTGATCACTGAGAACCCTGTGTGTATGAATACACACATCTACCCACAGTCATCTTCTATAAATACCAGTGCTTTCTCCATACACTTATAAATCATTTTTTTTATCTTTTCCAAAAGAATGTAGAGCAACAGGTGCAGCAAATACTTATTCTTTTTGGTGCCCTTGCATAAGCAGACCCATTTAACGTAGCCACCATTAGGAGTGTATCCCTGCCCTCAGCACAGAAAAGGTCATGTCATGCCCACAGTGTCGATGAGTGCTCATATCTTCAAGTAATCCTTCTGTAGTTGGCAACCTGACAAAGCTGTAGCCCGTATTAGCCCTAAAAGAGTGGAACTATCCATAATCCCCAGTTCTTCAGAATCTCTCTACTGCCTTATCCACACAGACTTGTGTACTAGAGGCTGCAAGACTGCATTACATTTGACCAAAAAGAGCCTGTTTATTAGCATGCCTTTACTCACCCCCCCTCCCCCAGATTCCCCAGCAATGGTGAAATCACCACCTAAAGATACATCACACACTTTTAAATGCTTTCAGACGTGTGGTGGTGTGTGGAAGAGACAATTAAAATGTCTCAATGATTCTCTGACGATAACTGTACCCAGTAGCAGGTAACACCAGTGGTCGAGGTTAATTCTAAAATTTTTAATTCTAAAAATTAGAAGCAAAGCATCTACAACTCAAAGTGAGATTTGAGACAGGAGGGTTGTTTTAAATGCAACGACATACAAAGGTGCTGCCTTAAAACTTTCCGAGAGCAGAAAAGGGCTTTGCCTGGAGGTGCCTCCAGCAACTCTCCCATATGCTCTAGGCATGTCCCCAGCATGCCCCCTCCCTCCTAGCTACCCAGGAAGGGTGGAGAGATGGGGAAGGAGGAAAGAAGGGAGATGCATACTTGCATATTTTCTCCTGCTTTAGGAATTCCTCTATTCCAGATCCCTCCAATTTTCTAGCACCTGGATGATTTTAAAGGAGATTGCATAAAGGAGACCAGCATTATGCTTGGGACATTTCTGTTCTCCACTGATCACACTCCAGAGCTGAAAGAACACTCTGTTCTTGTGCAAAGCACCAACACATTATTAACATGAAGCCTGTCTTTATCCCTATTTCCCTCAAATTAGACAACTATTTCAATAATAGGTTGCCCCGTCCTTTTATTAGAATAATTCTTTCCAATTATTGTATTCATTTCTACAACATTTTTGACACAGAGACCCACCACTGTGTACACTGTTATATATCCTCTCAATTTTAGCATGTTGATCTTTCTTCCTTTTATAACCAGGTGTTAGGTCAGTTTGTAACAAGAAATTCAAAGCAGTATGACTGCTGTGTCTCTGCTTACCGTAGCATATACGAGTCTTCCATCTGCTAGAACTGAAAACAACGTTCTGTGTTTCTGGCACTCTCCTGGTTTTCTTATATATATTAAATTCCTTACAATACCATACATCAAGAAATAAAGACAGATAACATGCTGCTGGTTAAAAAAAAAAAAAAAAAAAAAAAAAAACACCAAAAAAAAACCCAAACCAAAAAACAACAACAAAAACCCCCACAAACTTGCAGCTAAATCTCTTAATCAGGTTTTTCCCCCTTCAAGAAAATCAGTGTTCTTGTCGTGCTGTGGGACTAGTGCTCAGTGGGTTCATTTTCACTAATATGCTGCAGGTCTTGAACTGCTATTACTGCAATTCATCACTAAATGAGTCTATGCCAGCAAAATTTTATCAGCATCTCTGAAGACCACAGTATCTTCCTCTGGGTGAATATCATCTCTGTATACTTTTCAAAATGTCAGTACTACATTATGTGCAATTAACAACAACATACAGCACTCAACTCCGCTGGAAAGAAAGGGAAAAAACCACCAGAGGAGGAAGAGAAGCACAGAGCAGCTCTAACAGCCGACGGAGCCGAGGGCTCACGTCGCTCTGCCAAATCTGAGACTTCGAGGGTGCAGCGGGACCGCTCTCCTTCCTCTGAGCTGGGACCAGGCCCCATTTATTGGTGGTCACAGAATGCAAAATTCAGGGAATCAGGAAATGCAGCTCTTACCATCAGGCACTGCCTTATTTTAATGCATTAAATTTATCTAAATAGCACATAGATTTGGAGGCAGGGGTACACATCACTATCGCTAGCCTGTGACCCCCCCCCAATACCAAAGGAAATTATTAAAACTGCGTATTTCTGATGTGCATCATTATTTACTAACCCTTTGGCAAAATGGTAATTATACCTTACTATGTGAAGCTTCTACAAAAAAGAAATTACATCACAGCAAAGCCATGCAACAATATTTGTGTTGTCATGCATGAAGTAACAGAGCTACAGCTTCAATTAAATCTCCCAGCTTAAAGTTGAAAATACGTGGAATATTACATGATACAAGGTGCAGCTTTACAACACAAAATGATGTTTGCTTTATCTTCTAGTAAACTATTAGCAATCTATATCAACTATAGACATATTTGTCTGTACTCAGATATGGTGCATTCAATTAAGCACGTCAAATTCTGCTCTTTATGGAGCCCACTAAGCCTGGCAGGATTGAAAGAAAAATGCAAGACACTAATTCCAAAACCTGGCTACCACCTATGAAATATATAACAGAAGATGGACAGATAATCAAAAATGTTTTGCTGCTGGAGAACACCAGTGACCTGCCCTTTAAATCCTTACCGTGAAAACTAACAGTAATCTAGGCCCTTCTCATTGTACAACAAATCAGCAATTTTAATAAACAAAAGTCCTCAATTTGCCATACAAAAAGAAGTCACAGTATTCTGACTCTGACAGGCCAAATGCTACATATTAGACAAGAGTTAAATGAACCTGTTTCAGAGATGATTTATACTCATTTAGTAGTTTACAGCGGTTCAGGAATTTAAAGAGCTCTCAACAAACATTCGTGAATTGAGCAGTCCCAGGCTCCTTCGAAGAGGCTTTGAAAGAACATGTTCTCATGGATAGAATTTAAATGTCATTTCACATTTGCCAATGAATAAGAGACATTTGTGTCTCTTACTGTTGTTTCTAAGCAGAAAATAAACTAAAGTTTGTACCAAAGAGAAGAGAGCTTCACCCGGTGCAGACAACATCCTTACCCAAGTACTTCTGTCTTAAAAATACCGCAAACAATCATCCTCAAGGTCAAAGGAGTTGAACATAAACTTATCATCCTGACTCAGGAACACTGGCAAATGAAAGTCCGATAGCCAAAGCAATTATTGCCCAGATTGTTTGCTTTTCTCCTTTTCAGAAGCTACTTCAAGTCCAGTCCAGATACTCAGCTCAGATGAAGGAGACAGAGCAAATAAAGGTAGTAACAACCTCTGCTGTCTAACTCAATCCATCTACACCCACGAGCCAATACACTTAAAGAAGCTCCTCTTTTCACGTAAGGAGAAAAGAAAGCTTGAAGATTTTACAAGAATGCAGCCTCCAAAAACAGAGCCTTTGGAAGTAATGTGCTAGCGGCAGAAATCATATGACATGGTTTCATTTGGGATTTCCCCTCCTCTTGGGTTTTGTTTTTTCAATTACAGACACGGCAAAGAAAACGTTTAAAAAAATCGCTTCTAGGAGAAAACCTGGAAATGCAGGGAAGCAACACCTAGATAAGCTTAACAGCAGAAGACAGCTGCACTAC